AGATCCGGTATTTCATGCTAAATACGAGGCCTTCCCAGACCCGAATAATTTTGCCGTGCTTGAAAATACCGGCATTTATGTTTCTCTTGGCACCGCGATTTCTGTGTGAACGCTTTAAATACCGGATTTCAAGCCGCGTAGTTTATAAGACTGGTCGCGCTCGACAGTTGCCAGTGTAGATGCGAGGGAACTGTCGAGCGCGGACAGTCTACGTATTTTTTACTCGCGTCTGCCGTGCGAATTGCATTGTATTTCGCTTATTGTTTTGCTTGAATTGTTTAAAGCAGCTTCGCAGCTTCGCAAATTACCGTGCTATTTCTGGAGCGCGCAGGATCAGGCGCTGGTGAACGCCTCGGCGCGTATTTGTCTCAGATTCGGGATTGTCCGCCAAAATCTGCCGTATTCTCAGGGAAATACGCAGGTCTCGTGCTGAACCGAGTGCTATAGTCACGTAGGTTCAAGCGTGCTTGTTAAAACGCGTATAATTTAGACACATTGAGTTAAAAACTGGCTTTTCCTAGAAAGCCGGACACCACTAGGCGATTTAAATCGGCCGACTCAGTCGGGCGACTCAATTCGCCCGCTTGCAAAATCGCGCTAACTGTGTCAGTCAGTCGCCTCCGGATTTGTAGTCGCCCGAGTTTAGTGCCGATTCGAATCGCATAGATCAAACTTTTTGATATTATCAGGCGATTATTTCAGATCGTCCCGATTAAAAATCGTGCCTAGTGTGTCGCGGGTCAGGCGATTTATCGCCCGATTGCTACAATTTATCCAGCCAAGTCAGACGCCTTGTTCAATGGATAGCTGACGTGAATAGCGATGTTCATTGTTTAGTATGTCATGCTCATGTCCATGTCCACGTACATAGCGAATGGCCCACGCACGGCGACGGCACGCAGCGTGTACGTAGCACCGCTACGCAACACCACACTCATGCACGCACTTGTATACGTGCACACACGCACGCACGCACGCACGCACTGCACGCACTGTGTACGTGCAACCACCGCACGCAGCGCACGATCTACCGTGCACCATGCATCGCACGCACGGCACGCACGTGTCTACCTGCCACACACAAGCACGTACGCACGCACGGCACACATGCACACACGCTGACCTGCAGCACGCCACACACGCACGCACGCACGCACACCATGCCCACACGTGTACATGCCACCACGCACGCACGCACGCACGACACGTGGTACGGCTGCACAGCCAGCCACGCACGCACGGCGACGCTAACCGCAGGTACGGTGCCACACGCACGCACTTCAACACACGCGACGTGACGTGCACACACACGGACGCCACGCACGCAGTTGCACCGCACGTCCCCTGTAAGTTCACACGCACACACGCACTCACGTGTACGTACACACGCCACGCACGCTGTACGTACACACCGCACGCACGCACGTGTACGTGCACACGCACGCATACACTCCGATGCCACGCACGTGTACAAGCAGCACGCACGCACAGCAACGACACGTGTACGTGCACACGCACGCACGCACGTCTACGTGCACATGCACACGCTGCGCACACACGCACTCGCCACGCGACCGCCACGTCGCCCGTGTCACCCACACTGGGACGGACGTCGCACATGCCACCCCCCACGCCCTCCACCGAATACGCTTCTCCCACTTTCCCGTGTTAACTGCCCCACGCGGCGCCACACACGCACGCACACACGCAAGCTGTACGTGCACCCAACGCCACGCCTACAGCACCCGCGAGCATCGCACGCACGCCTTGTACGTGCACACGCACGCACGCAGTGCACGCCAGGGTGAACGTGCACACGCCACAGCACGCATGCACGGAGCTGTGAACTGTGCACACGCACGCAACGCACGTATATGTGCCATACGCAAAACGCTCGCACGCACAGTCGTTACGCTGCTCACGCACGCCCACTCACGTTAACCTCGCACACACACGCACGCACCGCCACGTAGCGCACGTGTACCTGTGAACACGCACGTCATTCACACACGGCACGCAGGCACGCCGTGTTACGCTACACACGCCACGCACGACGAGCACGACGCACGCACCGCGCCACGTGCTACGTGCACACCGCACACATTGCACGCACGGTACCACGCACGCAACGACGTAATACGTGCACAGCGCGACACACGCGACACACCGCACGCACACACGCACGCATGCCCACGCCCACGTTACATACAACACGCACGCCACCGCATGCATGCGCACGCCAGCGTGTAACTGTGAACACGCAGCGCACGCCACGTCCACGCACGTCTGTACGGTTCATACTACGCACCCTCGCACCACGATCATGCACGACCGCGTGTAACATCGCGCCTATCTGTCTGTTACGGGCCCTACCTTTTGCATATTATCGGCCGCGAGTTATTTCAGCCCGCCCGATAAAATCGCAATAGCTGTTCGTCCACTCGACTCGCGCGTATAAGAAATCGGGATATTATCGGGCGATTAAAGCTCGCCCGACTTAGATCGCATTAAAATCGCTAGTGTGTCCGCGTCCCTTAATGCGCGAGCCCTGTAGCGACACACTGCGATGGTTCAGATTTTTCTTTATTTAAACCGCGCTGTGCTTATAACCATCTCATGGTAGCGGCTTATATTTCGGAATCTCGTCAGCATACCCGTGTGTTGCGGCAGCGGATGAATGCCAGCGCGCGATGCTGACGCTGATGCATCCACGTGCATGGGATGCAGACGAATCAAATCGAGCGATGAACGGCACTCATTTATGGTTAAGTTGCTCGCCGCTCGAGGTAATTTGTCCCGAGTGTGCCACCGAAGCTTGTAAAAACAATGCGGCCTTTAATACTTAAGGTTAATCGAATTAGCATTCTGTTGAAAATCTTATTCAGAATCAAACGGTAGAGACAAATAGCTCCGCGATCTGTCTCATTCTGTCTATGCTGCCTGTCCTGCTCTATCTGCGTCTGTCTAGTCTATCTACTATCTATCTATCTATCTATCTATCTATCTATCTATCTATCTATCTATCTATCTATCTATCTATCTATCTATCTATCTATCTAGCTATATCTATATATATATATATCTGTCTGTCTGTCTGTCTGTGTATCTGTCTCTCTGTCTATCTGCCTATATGTCTAGCTACCCGCCTTTCGATTTTTCTATCTTCTCTCCCCCCGCTCTCTCTCTATGTATATATATATATATATATTTATTTATTTATTTATTTATTTATTTATTCATTCCTATTTTTTTAATTAATTAATTATTCATTTATTTATATGTATGAATATATACAATTAACCTTTGCCTCTAAGTTATTTGTTTCCTTGTAATAGTACCAGATGACACTGTCGTTGCTGTATGAAAGCTTCAATCTGGTCACCCATTGTTGCTTCTTTGTATCTTCTCTTCCTTTAACAATGAAGCCTGTCACTCGTGTCGGTGGACCAATATCAAACTGAAGCCACTGTTGTCCTAATACATAAAACCCATTGTAAATTAGATCACCTATTTCAATGGAGGTACATTGACTCATACACATATTACAGACTCTTGCACATATTACACCGCACGCACTTTTATTGAACTTCAACTTACATATACTACAGGTACACGCGGGCGCGTGCATATAAATATGTATTTGTTAATTGATCAATTAATTTTTGTCTGTGCATAATATGGTCTCAATTATGTAATTCACATTAATATATCAATTATTCTTATTGAATACAATTCTATTTGATCCATGATTATTGTAAGACGGCCAATAGCAAGCGACGACCAGCAACCCCAACGACCAATGACCGATAAACCTATAACCCAGCTATTGTAATTGAAGGCGATGACCCTATTTCGAATTCAATTAAATACCGCCAGCTTTTAGTGGTATCTGAGCCATTCATCCAGCTGCATTGCTTCTGTCGCTGAGGTCTATAGAGGAAATTCCCTCAAGTGTATTTATTTATTCAGTAATCGTCAAACGGGCAACGCATTTTATCGCGAAATTATTTATAAATTTATATGAAACTGGAAGTTGCTCATTATCAAGAGCTTAGTATCTGATTTAATCGCGTTCATTTCACGCTTCGAAAAGCGAAAGCTTCGAAAACAAATCTCAGTGATTTGCTTGGGATGATTAGTTAAATTGTAATTTTACATTAGCCCATACATGTTGAAACAAATGTTATATAACCTTAAAAGCAAGGCAAAATAATAGGCTATATACTACAATTACTGCGATTTCCAGCATTATGCGATTATAAAATTTTCTTACATTATTTTATTCACTATGACTCTTGCTGATACTAACCTGTGATAATAATGTGTATTGTATAATCACCAATATGAAACGACTTCAATGGTGATGATTTTTCATAAGAATATTGATTATATATCTGCCAATTAACGTTTATATACGTTATGTGCTAACAATGTTTTCAGTGCGAGCAAGGGGTTGACGACGAGTTTTATCACGTGGGATTTTTCTAAAACCCTGTATGATACAAAATGAGAAAGGGATTCCGCTGGCCCTACACCAATAATTCTAGACTTACCGTTGTTGTGTTTGGCACACCAACTTTTTGAACTGAAGATGTGTCCGTCCTCCGGTAGACAGGAGCTGTGTCGTTTCCAGTTCCACGTTGAGGACGCCTTTACCTTCACGGCCGGCGGCAGGCTGATCACGCGGTCGCATTCTAGAAAAACTCTTACTATCATTAACTTAACAGCAGCAGGAGCAGCAGCAGAAGAAAAAGAAGAAGAAGAAGAAGAAGTTGATGGAGAACAACAACAACAACAACAACAAGAGGAAGTAGTAGAAGAGTTGTAGTAGTATCATTAGTATCAGAAACAGCTGTAACAGTAGTGTTGGTAGCAGTAGCAATAGCAGTAATAATAGTAGTAGAGGTGTCATGTGGTGGTGGGTATTCCTAAAGAATATATGGAACGCGTATAGATCTATAAGAAACGATAACTCAAAAGTGTTAGGCAGTAATAGAAAAACTATATTTTGCATTGATTAATAACGGCATTGTAATAATATTATTGTAATCGGTAAAGGGTACAATGGCTGAATTGCAAACTCTAACTATATCCATCGCTATACAACGCCGCAATAGCCCCTTTAGTTAAAGCTTAATAATTACAAATCGGCGTAAAGTAGCTAGAGCTATTTCGAGAATTTAATATCCGAATTTGATATTTCGAACATCAAAACGCGCTATATAAAATATGCAATTTGTGTTCGTAAATCAAGAATTTATTTATCGCTATTAAAAATTCGCATTTTTTAGCTCAATTTTGTTTTTTTTATAACAAATCACCAACGACAAATAGACAGTAAGGAGAGCGCGGACTAAGATCAAGCGTATCTCACCGGTCAGTGGACAACTAATGAATATCAACCTTTACTCGACTAAAACTAAAAATATCTCAGGCGAGCAAGGACGAGCATATCAGTACACCTGGATCTCACACAAGACCAGGAAAAATCTCAGGCTCCATCGGTTCGTGGTGCCGTGTCCTTCTAGGTACACGTATCTGCCGCGCGTGGGCGTGCCGCATTCGAGCAGCAGTCTTGGCGCGAACACTGCGTTACTCGTTCGATTGATTTCGGCACACCTTTGCTCGTCACGCATCCTGGTGAGTTTGCGGTGGGTCTCCACGTAGACGGCAATCTTCTCTAAATTGAGCAGGTAGTCGCTGAATCTGTGATCGGCATCTATAAATAATATGGAGAGATAATCCGGAAATCCCTTTGAGAATAGTTAGGGTTACGGACGGGTAACACTGTAAAGGCAGCAGAAGAAATAGCAGAGTTGGGACCTAAACTTTTAACCATAAGTCTATAATATTAACTAAAAAAGAGTCCCTGGAATTTTTTTAAATGCTCTAATTTAGGAAATAAGTTGAAAAGATGTATGAAAATTTGTAGTGATTTTCAAAACGCAACAATTTCGTAAACAAAGAGCCATAACTGATAAAATATAACTTTTTTTTTAAAAATCCAGGGACCATTTTTCCTTTGATATGTTAGCATTGAAACGTAACAAACATTATTGGAATCAGAGTAGTGAGTTTCGAGAAATAGCGTTTGAAAAATCAGCAACTTCAGCATTTCTAACAATGGAGATATTAACACTTTTCTAAATTTCCCATGATTGTATGCCTGTGTTAATAATTGACTCATGCGGGGATTTGGAACTGTTTGGGAGGCTACATACATAATTTCTACGTATACATAGCTGCCCATGGGTACGACCTATCAAATAAAGTGGGTATTGAAATTTTGACCGAAAATCACCTCCCAACCTTAACAGTATCCTTAATGACAGGAAATTGAGACGGCAGCAAAGATGGATGGAGAGTTCCTACTTCGAGACAGTACGGAGAATCATTGATTCCTCCGGTAAACCGTAGGAAATCATGTTAAACATAATCCTGAAAATTTTATCTGTGACATAAGACACCACACACACGCACGCACGTGCGTGTGGGCGTGTGTGCGTTTGTCGGCACGTGTGTGTATGAGTAATTGCTCCCTGAAATAAACCCGCTATAAATATTCGATATTACATTCGATATTGTACGAGAGATAATATTGTGTGATACCTTGGCCCATGCCTTGCCATGTAGTGATTACGATTCCGTGAACCGTGTGTTTTCGTCCGAGGTCGATCATGAAGCGTGGGTATTGCACGTAGGCGTTATCGAGCACGGCGCACATGTGCAGAGACGTGTCTAGCACACCGTCGACAGCTAACGCAAGCCTGTCAAACCTTCTACCACGTCGATACTTCTTGCTCTTGTCATTACACCACGTACGTCGCTTCTGCGCCAGGTTCTCTACTGAATAGCAGTCATTCACACAGTTCTTACAGTACAGAAAGTTGACTTGCCAGTATGTTAGTGTAAATCTATAGCATGGATAGAGCGTGAGTCATACAGCAATGAAGAGCTCGGAATATTCACTATACCAATCGTTAGAATCCTACGCGATTGTATGGAGACGTTCACACACAAAAAACGTTTAACAAAATTACCCGTAATATCGCTCTCTAGCATTACACACTTACCACAGTTAGTATCTTGTGTAACTTGCATAAAGTTTCCCACACATTCCCCTGAAAGCAAACATTGAGAACATCAGAACCCCAGTTAGTTATACATTGTTGTTTTTTTGCAGTTCAACTCGTTCGGTTTACATCAGCCGCGTTCACACGTAGCAAGAAATCCGGTATTTAGCGTTCACACGTGGCAAAATACGAGGCCCAAGAAATACGGTATCTAAACAGATCCGGTATTTCATGTAAATACGAGGCTTCCCAGACCCCGAATAATTTGCCGTGCTTGAGAAATACCGGATTTCTTGGACCGCGCATTTCCTCGTGTGAACGCTAAATACCGGATTTCTGAAGCCGCGTATTTTATAGACTGGTCCGCGCTCGACAGTTCCAGTGTAATGCGAGTGGAACTGTCGAGCGCGGACCAGTCTACGTATTTTATCGGCAGTTGGTGCGAATTGCATTGTTTATTTCGCATTGTTCGCTTGATTATTTAAAGCAGCTCGCAGCTCGCAAATACCGTATTTCTGGAGCCGCGAATCAGCGTGTGAACGCTCGGCCGCGTATTTGTCTCAGATTCGGTATTTCGCAAATACCGTATTTCTGGAGCCGCGAATCAGCGTGTGAACGCTCGGCCGCGTATTTGTCTCAGATTCGGTATTTCGCAAATCTGGTATTTCAGAAATACGAGGTCTCGTGTGAACGAGGCTATAGTCACGTAGTCACGTGTTGTTAAAAACGCAATAATTTTAGACAATTGAGTAAAAACTGTTTTCCTAAAAGGCCGGACACACTAGGCGATTTAATCGGGCGACTCAGTCGGGCGACTCAATCGCCGTGAAAATCGCCTAATGTGTCCAGTCAGTCGCCGCCGATTTAGTCGCCCGATTTAGTCGCCCGATTCAATCGCATAGATCAAAACTTTTTGATATTATCGGGCGATTATTTCAGTCGCCCGATAAAATCGCCTAGTGTGTCCGGGTCGGCGATTTAGTCGCCCGATTGTACAATTTATCCAGCCAAGTCAGACGCCTTGTTCAATGGATAGCTGACGTGAATAGCGATGTTCATTGTTTAGTATGTCATGCTCATGTCCATGTCCACGTACATAGCGAATGGCCCACGCACGGCGACGGCACGCAGCGTGTACGTAGCACCGCTACGCAACACCACACTCATGCACGCACTTGTATACGTGCACACACGCACGCACGCACGCACGCACTGCACGCACTGTGTACGTGCAACCACCGCACGCAGCGCACGATCTACCGTGCACCATGCATCGCACGCACGGCACGCACGTGTCTACCTGCCACACACAAGCACGTACGCACGCACGGCACACATGCACACACGCTGACCTGCAGCACGCCACACACGCACGCACGCACGCACACCATGCCCACACGTGTACATGCCACCACGCACGCACGCACGCACGACACGTGGTACGGCTGCACAGCCAGCCACGCACGCACGGCGACGCTAACCGCAGGTACGGTGCCACACGCACGCACTTCAACACACGCGACGTGACGTGCACACACACGGACGCCACGCACGCAGTTGCACCGCACGTCCCCTGTAAGTTCACACGCACACACGCACTCACGTGTACGTACACACGCCACGCACGCTGTACGTACACACCGCACGCACGCACGTGTACGTGCACACGCACGCATACACTCCGATGCCACGCACGTGTACAAGCAGCACGCACGCACAGCAACGACACGTGTACGTGCACACGCACGCACGCACGTCTACGTGCACATGCACACGCTGCGCACACACGCACTCGCCACGCGACCGCCACGTCGCCCGTGTCACCCACACTGGGACGGACGTCGCACATGCCACCCCCCACGCCCTCCACCGAATACGCTTCTCCCACTTTCCCGTGTTAACTGCCCCACGCGGCGCCACACACGCACGCACACACGCAAGCTGTACGTGCACCCAACGCCACGCCTACAGCACCCGCGAGCATCGCACGCACGCCTTGTACGTGCACACGCACGCACGCAGTGCACGCCAGGGTGAACGTGCACACGCCACAGCACGCATGCACGGAGCTGTGAACTGTGCACACGCACGCAACGCACGTATATGTGCCATACGCAAAACGCTCGCACGCACAGTCGTTACGCTGCTCACGCACGCCCACTCACGTTAACCTCGCACACACACGCACGCACCGCCACGTAGCGCACGTGTACCTGTGAACACGCACGCACGCGTGCACACGCACGCACGCGTGCACACGCACACATGCACGCACGTGTACGCACGCACGTAAGCACGCACGTATACGTGCACACGCACACACGCACACACGCACGCACACACGCACGCATGCACGCACGTTTACATACACACGCACGCACGCATGCATGCACGCAGGTGTACGTGCACACGCACGCACGCACGCACGCACGTGTACCTGTACAACTACGCACGTACGCACCAACGCACTCATGCACACGCGTGTAAAATCGCCTAGTGTGTTCGGCCCTACGTTTTGATATTATCGGGCGATTATTTCAGCCGCCCGATAAAATCGCATAGTGTGTCCACTCGACTCGCGCGATAGAATCGGGCGATATTATCGGGCGATAAAGTCGCCCGATTAGATCGCATTAAAATCGCCTAGTGTGTCCGGCCCTTAATGGCGAGCCCTGTAGCGACACACTGGCGATGTTCGATTACGCGTGTGTTATAAACCATCTATGGTAGCCGCTTATATTTCGGAATTCGTAGATACCCGTGTGTGGGCAGCCGATAATGCCAGCGCGCATGCTGACGTGATGCATCCACTGCATGGGATGCAGACGAATAAATCGAGCGATGAACGGCTCATTTATGTAGTGTCGCCGCTCGAGGAATTTGTCCGAGTTGCCACCGAACGTCTGTAACAAACAATGCGCTTTAATCTTAATTAATCGGAATTAGATTCTCTGAATCTTATTTAATCAAAGTAGAGACAATAGCGCGATCTGTCTATCTGTCTATCTGCCTGTCTGTCTATCTGTCTGTCTATCTATCTATCTATCTATCTATCTATCTATCTATCTATCTGTCTGTCTATCTATCTATCTATCTATCTATCTATCTATCTATCTATCTATCTATCTATCTATCTATCTATCTATCTATCTATCTATCTATCTATCTATCTATGTATCTATCTATCTATTTATCTATCTATCTATCTATCTATCTATCTATCTATCTATCTATCTATCTATGTATGTATCTGGCTATCTATCTGTCTCTATCTATTTATCTATTTTATGTATCTATCTATCTATCTATCTATCTATCTATCTATCGCACTATAGTCTATAATAGTGCTACGTATAGTCTTGCACACTGTATCCAGTGGAAGTGATGCAAGTGTAACTGAAATGATATGGATGCTGCTATACAGGGGTGCGTTGATTGAACGCTGCTGCAGGGGCATGATTTTTTCATCATTTTTTCATTTTGCCATGTCAGATGACCTCGGAGGTCAAATCCAATGTGCCCATGTTCCAATGTATCCAAAGTTATATGTAATGGCCATCCTTGGACATATAATAGAGTGACCGATATTGATTTGAATCGAGATCAGACGAACAGAGAAACTTCCACAAATGTGTATTAGATTGTCCTGCGTTACTGTCCTTGGTCGTGCATACTTGCTATGTTCTCTAGTGCAGTCATGCATGGCAGTCAGGTCTTCTTTCATTGTTGTTTTGCCATCCGGCTTACCCTGTTCTGAGACGTCACAAAATGACAGACAGCTGACAGGTACTAGACAATAACAACGGGAATATTAGTGTAGCGGCCGAGACCCCAAAAATTAAGTGCACCCCTACCGGAGGTATAACAAGCTGGGAATGGTCTCATTTATTTTAACCGTCTCTGGATCCCTAGTTTATCGGGACAAAAAAGCCATGTTGTAGTTGCAGCAACCTCTGCGCCAACATGCCGACATTAACCCTTTTTTTACGGCTAAAATTCTGAAAAAATGACATTTTTCAGTCTACTTGATTATTTTATGAAATCAGCCCCCATTATATTTTATAATTTGAATGGTTATATCAATGTATTTCAATGAAATAGATATGTAGCAATGTATTTGAGGCAGTTTTATGCTGCTAAGGGGGTTAAGGGCCAAAATTTATACCCAAAATTTGGCATTTTTTGGCGATTTCGACCAAAATAATGTATATTTCTTGCCACTATTCACCAATACATGTTTGATCAACTGCTGTCAGATCGACTCTATTCATGGGCCTAGATGTGCTATTAATAAAATAAATAAGTTTCAGCAGTGGTAAACGGTATCAACATCGGTACATTAACCTTTTTTGCGACACACCCTGAAACAAACGTACTTTTCAGTTTACTTGCACTAGTTTTATAAAATCAGCGTGCGCAGATCGACAACTACTTTAAAAAACTTATGATGTTAAATGCAATGTATTTATGAAATAGATATGTAGCAAGGTATTTGAGGCAGTTTATGCACCTGCTAAGGCTGTTAAGAGGCCAAAATATACCCAAAATTGCCATTTTTTGGCGATTATTCGACCAACAATAATGTTATATTTATCTTGGCACTATTCCCCAATACATGTTATCACTGCTGTCAGATCTGGACTCTATTCATAGGCCTACGATGTGCTATGATAAAAAATAGTTTTCAGCATGATTGGTAAAACGGGGTCACATGGTACATTAACCCCTTGTATTGCGGACAGACCTGAAAAGCTACTTTTTCAGGTTTAACTTGCATATTTTATAAAATCACCGTCTGCGCAGAATGTTGTAGCAACTGATGTCTATAACAACTGTATTTCGATGAAAAGATAGTGTAAGCAATATTGAGGCAGTTTTATATGGTTTCAGCTCGTCCGGACAGATTCAATTGGTTTTTGTTACTCTGATTCTCAAGCAATTCCTAATTCCACCGAATAATCGTTATCACTGTGTCAGCATCTGACTATTCGATGGGCCTAGATGTGCCATTGATAAAAAAATCTGTTCAGCATGTAAACGGCGGTTAACTGGGTAAGACGGTAAGGACGACTGGGGAATCGTGGTCCTCGCACTTTCTGGCCAAATTGGTAGCACATTCACTTGCACCTCTTTGTATTTCGAAGGACTGCTCAAGATCACGTACTAGCTGGCTTGGTTTCATTGGTCAGCCATGGCAATCACGTTCTTGTTGGCAAAATTCAGCTGAAGTGAAGGAACACTTCCGTGTACAGTGCTTTTCGTTGTGCCAAGGACGACACCTCTGATTCACGGGCATTACTGCTTCCTTGGAGCGATTGCGGTTAACCGTGGCCAGCTGCGTATACATCTGATGAAAGTTAGGATGTTTCGTTTAAGCAGCACGATCTCGAATGATCTTGCCAAATGCTGGCCCAGGAAAGCCATTATTCAGATGCATTGCCTCCCAAGCCCTCATCATTCTTTCAGCCACGTGGTTCGGCGCGGTCTGCGCTCCACAGAACTCTGCTGTGCCTTGCTGTCCTAGATGGCGAAGTCTCTTGTGCCAGTAATGATGTAATCTATCGCTGTGCTGGCGTGGCTGCCAGACTCCAATCAGATAGTGTTTTGCGACTAGCCTCAACAAATAGTGGATAAATAAAATGGTTTTGACAAGTCAGTGGTGAGGCCATTGAGAAGGGTTATGATATCGTATCTATAACGGGACAGTCTTCGTTACTGACCGAGGGCATCGATATCCACTCACGCCGGAATGCTAGATTCACCATCTCCCACAGCGTCCTTGGCACTTTGCCATATGAAATCTTTCAATTATGCTTTATCCGAGTTTCATCCCTCCACTTCGATAGGTGACAGTGCGGCTCTGGCCTTCTTCGCAGGGCTTGCGGTAGCCTTGGAGTGTGTTCCTTGTACTGCGGCCAGTGTCAAGATTTTGTTTGTACAAGGAATCAAGGGGACACATCAGACGAGTGGGAGCATGTTGGCTAGCAAGCACAACAGCCAGGCATGTGTTAGTGCGTTTCCCATCAACTGTCTCCTCATTATGATCAAAGTTGTCGATGCGCCAGCATCAACGCACTGGATTCAGGTTCTAGGGATCAAACAGTGAAATCCCTCGAGGAACCTGCACTTCAGATGGCTACTGGCAAAGTTGATCACGAGCTACTGATCTAAGAACTTTCTCACGTCATCATAGGTTTATGGAATATCCCACTTACTTGAGAACGTCTATAAGCCTCCTTCTCCCATGGTCATGGGCATCTGAACACCAAGCGCCAAATGTAATGGGTGTTTCGTCTTTACAGGACGAGAGATTATAACTGTGACAGATACAAGCACTCTCATGTCAGCATCACTTGAGGTCACAGTGTCTAACATTGTCAAAGGATTCTTCGAGGTGCACCATGGCTATCGAAATCGTAACAATGTCTCTGAACAAATTCTTACATTGTCGTACATTCAGTCTCCGCTTGGACATAGTGGCTAGTTTGAAACGGTTATCCTGACATCTGCCACTCGCGAATGATACCAGCAGCTCGTATGAAGGACGGACACTTCCGGATCCACATCACTTGCCATCTTCACTGGGAATTCACATTAGCCGGAATCATGAATTTCGATGGTCAGTGCAGCAACTTTCTTCAGTGCATCACCAACACTCACCTCTCTGCGAACAAACAAGATTCGGAACTTGCCTGCTTGGGCTAATGAACAATAAGTTAACACAAAATGTTTCTTCAGCTTCTCTTAAGCTTCCATGAGGATAGTCACCGACTCTGATGCCTGATCTCTCTGCCTTCATTGATGTATCTCAATGAATCGTTCATGTTAGCGAGGACAAGGCTGACAAAGTTTCTGGTACGTTGAGAGTACGCTACTTCGATTTCTCTCACTCAGCAGAGAAAAGCCTTGTCCGTAATCGTGGGGGCATTTTTCGGCTTGGTTAGTTTCAGCTTAATCAGCGGATTCTGTTTTTCTGCCTTGGCCCTCGCTTCAGCCTTGATGATTTCTTGGTCTGAAACGTATCGACCTGTCTAGCATGAGCCTCGTGTATTTCGCCATCATAAGCGAACAAGTGCCTGATATACAGCATCCGCATGTGAATCATGTACAGCTATCTTTCCAAAGATGCTGCGATTATACGATCATGGGTTGATGCACCAGTGCCAGTATAGTATGTTAGTCAGATTTTCTTTCTTAGTGTTTGAGGTCCCACAATGAAACACGGCTGTTCTTATGTTAATGTAGACGGTTTCAGTTCGCGAAGCCGAGTTGGTCCACTCTCAGCAAGGTCACTAGCTGCTGTACCACGCGTGCCCACGAGCAGGCACATTTCTGCTAATTACTTCTAGATTCTTGCGTTTAATAGCGAGCTCGGCATTTCGTGCTGGTATCTAACTGTAACATTTTTGCGTTTAAAATGTCACTATTTTGAGCCCACAGCTAGGCCAATTCGTGTACATGCATCTTGACGAATTTCTGCAGCATGAATACGCTTTGATTCCATCCAGTGATTGGTTTTTACAACGGACTGTCATGTATCCAAGCGCGACGACATATCACACAGTCTCGTCATCGCTGAGCTTTTCGTCTCCTTTCTCAGGGGGTCAGTCCGGTCCATCATTACTGAATAAAATTGCTTTGGTGGTTGAGCAAGCATGCTCTAATATAGACATGTCCCTGTTCAATTTCTAGGTACGGTAGTGCCTGCCCATCTGTTGAAATCAGTAACAAAATACCAATAATCTGTCACGAGCTGAAAATAATAAAACGCCTCAAATACATTGCTACATATCTATTTCAATGAAATACATTTGATAATAACATCAGCTTCTAAACATCTGCCACGGCTGATTGTATAAATATGCAAGTAAACATGAAAAAGTATTTTCAGGTCTGTCGAAACAAGGACACAGACTGGCACATTCGTATACCCTGCTTGCTAAGCGTTTCGATGGGTGCTGCCCTGGCGAACTGTACGCGTCAACTTACTCGAAATGGCCTCGGGTCGTTGTCTACTATGTCAACGCCAGTACGCGGGAAGAATTTTTTTTTAACGGTTACGCATAATATTTGCTTAATTATATAGAGTACCGAGGCTGACGTCACGTTGGCAAGACAACGCACGCGGCGGTTCTTACACAAGTCACTGGCCCTCCATAAGCGTTACTGCGTAACATGTGTGTGCGTACGCTAAAACACGAGTGGTGTGCGCTGCAGACAGCGGTAAAGCATCGTAGCAAGTCGATTCTTACAATATTTAGATGAATTTTAAAAAAGATTTAAATTTTTTTTTTTAATTTTTTGTTGTTAATTAATTTTTTATTTTTTCTTGTTGCTTTTCACTTCCATTCCTTTGGAAACTCTATTAAAAACTGCAATAATGACTCTAGAATGATGGTTACAATCCGCGTACAAAACACGGGACACGTAGTTAATGTTACCAGAGCATTATGTGTAGAACACAGCAGGGCTCGTTGTCATGCCACCGTGACTCATCACTTCCGGTACTCTATTGACTAAATCGTGCGTCAGATACAACTCAATATTCACAGAGCACTATAGCTAAGGACATGTGTCTACTAGGTATCTACAAATTTCTTAGAAATTTAATTCGATCTGTAATTCACTTTTCGCTACGGCAATATTGCTAATATACTGACTAATCTGTAGTCGCCTGCTGCGCGAGTCTAAAGCGGAAAGACGACGAATAAAAAACCGTTCACTCTTCGTCTCTAATTTCGATTGGACTGTCGCTATTGCGAACAAACTAACTGGCACCGTACCCTTAGGGTGCATGTGTCATCGGTCTACGCGGCAGCTTAAATACACAGCTTCGATTGGTGGGAAACTACGACTGCCTACGCAATTAAACTGAGAGTGGATCACGGGACCTATACACGATCATACGCGTGCTGCATCGACTATCGAATAACGACGCGTGTCTATATTCAAGCCTTACAGGAATCATTTGCATAATTATATCTCGATATATTCCGACAAGATATAGCGTTTTTCAAGGTTGTCAGAGTAAGGGACACGAACTATGCGTAAAACTCGGGTGGTGTTGCAGACGACGACTATTCGTGAGAGTGCTAGCTCAGTCTAGCGCTGGATGGCGCGCTATAGATGACATAGGTTCTCTTATCTCTGCAAATAATAAATTCGTTCTATATGTGGACTGAATGCAGCAGATTGAGCAGAGTATAGACACTACGCATGAGAGGGAAACACGCAGCCTCATCCACACGAGGCCCCTCCCCTCTACCTCCGCCACCCGATGTCTTGACTGGCCGCAATTTCCTTGACCGTGGAATCAAGTGACTTACTGACTGCTGTGCACAAACAGAAGCACTGCATACTTATCTAATTATTTAATTCATATGTCAATCATAATGATCAATGTAAAATAACACAATATACAAATCATTGTGAACGCAACAGCTTAAAGTTAACACTACTTGGTTCGATAAGAATATGATAATTCTGCTGCCCTTTGTTCTGTTGAAAAAATACCAAGTTAAAACGATATTGCAATTTGTAAATATACACCCACATCACATGACACATGGTAGCATGCGTCATTACATAGACTTCGGAAGTGTGATCTGCCACCCCAACATATAGAAGAAGCCGACATGACGGGTAAAAGACAGCAATGCAAA